GACACTGGTTAATCTCAATATGTTGTAACATAACTGATGTTAATAATCATTTATAATCCTCACATCTCCAATGTGGCTGCTGATAAATTTGAGATAGATTTTTAACCTAAAGATTAGCAAATTGATATTACCAGGACAATCAAATGCTAATAGAGCTCCACTTGGCCACTAATTCATGACAGACTTCAACATGTTAGCCAAAAAAATGAACATGTGTTTATTTTAACAGAAAAATGCTGAGTTAATGATAGTTTATAGCAGTTCACCAATATGATAGCAAGAGTTTTAGGTTCTGCTCTGAGACAGACGTACTATCTTAAAAGGGATCTGTTTTCCCCCAAAGAAAAGACTTCCATCCCCAACATTTCTCAACTGTGAGTGACACCAAGTATTCTTACAGCAATAAATACAAAATATATTTCTGTCAGTCTTATATGTAAACAAAGTGAATGTGTAGAAGTAAATGTAACCAAAAACATTTGTAACAAACAAATATACATGCAACCCAAGACAAATATGTGTATAGCAATATTCCAACAATATCATGGCATGGGCAACAGAACAAGCTTCACACATTGTACCCATGTGGGGAATCACATCCTGGCTCTGGGGAAAGCTTCAACCACTTGGTTGCCCCACTCCCCGTTCTAGGTTTGAATCCTGCATTATCCCAGTATTATTCTTGGTTTGTAGGCACCATGAAAGCACTGAATGATGGTAAGATATAGAGAGTGCATGCAATGATGCAGACTGTAGAGCTGAAACCCATGTCTCCAACATGCTGCTGGTGAAATTTAAAACTCAGTCTAGTTTCCAGTTTAGTTTTGTTTGTACAATTGTTCAATTCCTTGGACAAATGTTGGATTAGTTCAAATGTACATATAAAGACTTCCATTGAGCTTTTCTGGAGCCAGCATGATGGGAATCATATCATAGTTGTCGAAATATCTTTTTATCAAATCAGTCAAAAGCTTACATTAGTTTTAGGTTTCCCTTAAATGTTACCACGAATGGAGACTGTATGGCTTAAAACTATTGATTCTGATGTTTAAAATGCCACATCCTTTCCCTCTCTAGCAGGCGATGTTACGAAAACTAGATGTTGCACTTGATTCTTTTAAAAGTGGGACAAATTTTATCATTTACATGAATAAATTCATTTTCTTAGATTACAGGAAGATGTGTTATGAATTCAAATTGTTTTCCATTTAACTACCACATAATATGAAAAAACTGTTGGAATACAAATGAGAATATTTTGAATCATTCATAGTTTTGACATATTACTTGAGATTTCTCAGGATATATTTTACGAACCTGGTGTCTTCTTACATAAATGTACTTAAGCCCAGACATTTGATTATGAGCTGAAATATCTTCCTTCTATTGGAACTTTATCACTTTAAATGCCTTGTAAATAATTTCTGTTCAGTGGGAATGACTTTTTTATATTTAAATTCTATATAAACACTGTAGTTATTCTGTAATAAGAAGCCATTTATATAATAAACTAGGATATGAATTTCATGATTTATCTGTTTTCAGGAAGATATTATCCCTTTTTACAGAATTCTTAATGAATTTTAAAACTGTAAAAGCTACCATATATTCACATCAGAAAGTATTCATTGTATAAAAAGAGAAATCGTTTTAATAAATTATCAGTTTTCAGGAAAACATCCACAGACATTTTTCAAAATGTGGAAGAATTTGAAAAACAAAACCACACAACCACGTTCATGTGTTTTTTAACTTAAAATATCAGGTGCTGACAGTGAAACCGCTTGGAGAATCTCTGCCAAGAATTTGGTAATGAAGTCAAATCTAGTTCAAACTCACCCTGCAGGATTCCCTTAACAAAACATTCAAGTCTGAAAAAAGTGTGTTTACTTTGTCATTTTAGCATCCTGTGGTGAGTTGTGCCATCTAATTACATGGCCTGATTGCCTGTGTGTGTTTTTACACATGTGTGTCCCTACTAAGGTGTTCTGGCCTGTCAGGCTGCAAAGAGGCCAAGTGGCAACAATAATCAGCCTCATATCACTGTAATTAACAACTTGTATACAACAGTCTTTTTGCCATCATGCAGATAATATGTCCGTACAACTGGTGTTAAATAATACTAGCTTTAAAGACCTGACATGATCAAGACTTGAAACATTAAGATACACTGTAGTGTTCAGCTTCCATTTAACTTCTGAACTGAGAAGGTTCATTGTTGGAATAGGATTGAAATAGAGTTGATGTGTTCTTCGAATTACTCTTCCTAATGGTGAGGTGTCCCAGGTGATGAGCTGCAGATGATAGGGTTCCAAATGATGATTCCTTAAAGAAAGAAGATGGATGTGAAGGAAAGAAAAGAATCTAGTTCCAGCTTCATTATGACTGGGTGGCCCAGGCGTCTAAGGCACCACCATCAATTGTACAGAGTTGCTTCCCTTAGGCATAGAAGGAGCCTATGGTCATGGGTTCAAGCCTCGGATTCTACCTGATTATGTTATATATTTTTACAGCATCATGAGTTTGGTCGAGTTTGAAATTGTGAGATCTGCATAAATTAAGTTTTTGTCCCTCATTCAATTGACATTACATTCTATGGCTGAAATATTTTTCAATATGGTCTTATACCCTCACTCACTCACTCTGATAGACAGGCATTGTAAAACAAATGTGTTCATGTGATTATTTAGTATTCACATAAAAGTGTATACAACCCCTCTGGCTTTTCATTTCCATGGATAAGACTATTTCTAATTTCGCAACTAGAATGTAGCAGAGATAATTGATACATTCATATGTTGTCCTATATTTCAGTCTAGAATTCACTGATTATGCCCTCGTTCAAATACTAAACACTAGCTAAGCATTTTACATCTTGCACCAGTTATCATTATGAGACTGAAACTGGTGCCGACATAGGTAGATGATAGATCTACCACATGTACAGAAGTAGCATATACACTGTAGCCAATCAGCCTGAGATTATCTTGTACTTCTTGTGTTGTGAATTAGCTGCAGTTTCATCATCAATCTTTGGTCATGAATTGTTTGTTCCAGCTGCTCATTGATTGCAGCTACTAGAAATATTTTGTCTATTATTTATATCAAGTAAAATGGCTTTTATCCCAGTTTCATCCCCTAAATACCCATGAAGATCCGCGTTAGAATTGGTCTTCAGCAACCCATACTTGTTGTAAGAGGCGACTAACGGGATCGGGTGGTCAGGTTCGTTGACTTGGTCGACACCTGTCATCATATCCTCATTGTGTAGATCGATGCTCATGATGTCAATCACTAGATTGTCTGGTCCATTCTTGGATTATTTACAGGCCGCTGCCATATAGATGGAATATTGCTAAGTGTGGCATTAAACAACAAACAAATAAAAAAAACATTCCCTAAATATTAAGATCCAGGCAGAATAACAAAAACTACTGTCTTTCATCATTCCTTGCATGACACCATAATACTTCCTCTCTCCCTGTAGAGGCACAATCCATTAGACCTTAGATGTGGTCCTTGGATTTATGTCCACAGCTTGTTCTGGAATTTTGATATTGATGAAACAACTACACTATATCAAAAACTCAATGCCTCTACTTTCTCTCTCCCCCTCGCCCTTTCACTCATTTGTTTTGAGAAAGTTTTGATGACAAACTTTGTTTCACTTATCTTCAAGTCTCTTCTTCAAGGCTTTTCAGTATCCATATGTTTCTCCAGGGCAAATCACTATACTGTCTCCAATTTCATTCCATTTCTGCTGAATTAAATCATAACACAAAACACGCTGTTTTCCTAAGGTAAAAACCTGCCACTGAAAACAACAGCAGCTTTTTAAAACTGATCAAAGCCTACAGTACTTATGGTGATGTGATGTAGAAATATTTTATTCATTTAAAACCAGTGGCTTGACGGAATTGTATAAAGCTATGAGCAATAACGCAGCTTTGACAAAAACTCTGAAAAATTCCCATCACTCCAGGAGATGGTGTCGAGAAATACAATCTATGCTTTGATATCATAGTGTAATCATCATATCGAGGAATTCTTTATTCAGCATTATATGTGTACTCTCTTGAGACTTGAACAGAACACTGTACATGAATTATTTAAAATTTAGTCGTTACAAAAACAGTTTTCACTGACAGGAGAAAAGAAATATTCCCATATTGTTTGAATTTGCAGCTTCAGATCAGAGTTGTTGGACATAGCATGGGAAGGGTTTGATTCAAAAGATGCTGACGTTATCTAAACATGTATTTCATTGAACATTTGTCACAGTTTTCTAACCGTATCTTGTTTTAATGTCGCTATATATCAAATACCATGTTTTGAGAAGAGAAACTGCACAAATGTTTCATTTTTCAAGTATTTGAAACATTTGTACATATAACGCTAAAGTGTTTATGAGACTTTCATTTCAATTTAAGAGAATTTAACACATTTTGAAAAATGATTTTTTTTTCCTAATGGTTTATTGTGTCAATATCTGATGTTAAATGTTACATGCAGCATCCGGTGGCAATATGTTAGAATTGTCACAGCTTGACTACGGGGGCCCTACAAAAAGATGGAACGTTACAATAAGAAAACACACCCCCTACCTGCAGAAGACATTTCTTAGAGGTCTTGTACCAGACAACATATACCATTCCATCTCTGGGGAAACGGATGCCAAGCTTCAATGATCCTGTGTTTCAATTCATGTTTTCACACATAGCTTCACAAAATAAACAGTTCCGTGAATTTAGGTTATTTTATAAACTTAAACTGCAAATGATTTTGATATATGATTGCTTTTTCAGATATTTCTTCTCATGTTCCACATCATCAGCAAGTATTTTTTAAAGTTTTACCAAAAATCCCATAAAACAAAGGAATTACAGCACTGAAACAAAAGTGTATATAAAATAGTGCATTAAACATCAACATGGAAGTAAAAAGTGTGATTTTTCATTTTGTTAAAAACAAAATATTTCTAGTTAAATGGTATTGCAGACAACATTGTTTATATTGGGACATGTTTATGTACACAAAAATGCTGCAAGTGCTTCTTTTTCAGAATTAATTTAAATTACTTGAATACTTTTTAAGACGTCAAGCTGTGTGTAATTATGGATTATCTGCCCCAAGTGAATAATTACTTAGACCCTTATACTTCACAAAGGGCAGATGCTCTGTATAATGCTTTAAACCCTCAGCTTTTTTAAGAGACAGACTCTCGATAATTCTGAGTTTTATGTGGGTTATGCTGTATATCATTCACTGTAATTTATAAACAATGAAGAAAAAACAAAGTTTATTGATGTCAATAACATTGTTCATATGATGTCATGTAATCAGTTTGTGACATCATTTACAAAGGATGACATCATACATATACTTCTCAATGAAGCAATGTGTATATCATCAACCATCCATTCAGCATTTAGAATGATGAATGTATACATTTGCAAATATCAGAAAGTATTTATACTCTCTTTATAGGTAATATTATGAGGCCCCCGAAGATCACGGGGTAGAATAGGTCTTCAGCAACCCATGCTTGCCACAAAAGGCGACTATGCTTGCCGTAAGAGGCGACAAATGTGATCGGGTGGTCAGGCTCGCTGACTTGGTTGACACATGTCATTGTATCCCAATTGTGTCGATTGATGCTTATGCTGTTGATCACTGGGTTGTCTCAACCAGACTTGATTATTTAAAGGACGCCTTCATATAGCTGGAATATTGCTGATTGAGGAGTTCAACAACAAACAAACAAACAAACAAACAAACAAACAAACAAACAAACAAACAAACAAACTCTTCACGTTCTTTTTGGATGGTAAAGACTCCTCAGTACCAATGTTTGAGATGACATTTGGCACCAATGTTTATGCTTAGTCGTCAACAGCAGATACTGTAATTCTTCTTTATATAATATCTATTGCCATGACCTGTTATGGCTGTCAAAAACACTGAAGGCTATATGAACTCTCCAAAGGATGAAAAAATAATGAAAACCTTCAAATTGAAGTTCCATCAGTTGTCAAATATTTACATGTGCTAGAGACAATATTGCAATCTGAAAGCCATAAAATTTGTTATTCAAGTAAACATTGCATCAAATTTGATCCTATTTGTCAGCTAAACTTGGGAAATGAGCCCATTTGAAAACACGATGATCAAGTATTCAATATCATGTGGCTGGACGTTGTAGTATCAGCATTAACAAAAGGTATTCACATCTCATTGAATCTCCTTGATGTTATTGAGGGGAATAAGATACCAGGAGGGTGGACATATATCTCGGTACCCCCCACAGAAGAAGTACCAATAACTTAATAATTATAACCATGGGGGTGCTCAGCGTTGGTGCCCAATATCGGATGTCACACAACGAATGAATCACATGCCTACAAAACGCCAAAATGTAATTTATGATAAATTTATTCTCTGTGTGATGTAGATACAAAACATATACTGTTACCTTTTGTCGATGTTCAGAATTTGATAATGTCACGGAGCTATGGGTTCGGATATGCTTATTCAGGCACTTTTATACCAGAAAGAATGGAGTGAGGGGCTCTTATTACCACACACACTTACAATAAGAAATGGCTGTAAAGGATTAAATACACTGTATTGATGTTATTATGTACCTGGGTGTTCCTGACTGAGAATATTGCATAGCTTACTTGATACAAGATGAATAGAGAATGAAGTACTGCTACAAATACTAGCTGGTTTTATTGAAATCTATTTTCCATGCTAAAATATGTCCAAAGACATGAGTGAGTGAGTGTGTGAGTGAGGCTATCATGGCTGGGGACACCAGAAATGGGCTTCACATATTTACCCATGTGGGGAATTGAACCCGGGTCTTTGGCATGAACTAACACTTTGACCACTAGGCTACCCCACCACCCTCAAAATATATATGTTTGTGATGACGGCAAATTTGTGGTACTGGAACACCCTTTTGCTGCTTGTAGGTTTAGATTTCAGTACCATGATATTAACCTACCTAGGCCATCTGTGTGTCCCTCTGGGACTATTTAAAATCATTAAGATGACTTGCCAAGATGAAACTGCGGTAATGTTTAAAGCTCCAATGAAACCATCTCAACTGCTGTTGGTTCTGCTGTAGTTCAGTAGTAGTTGTAGTACATGGTGCTAAGATTGAGCACAGTTGCTTTATTGAAAAATAACCCCAAAGTTTCAAATTATCTTATAATCACATATTCTTCTTATTCAGTATTACTTATTATATTACCATAATTCAGTTTTGACGTGAAATTACTGAAACTGTGTAAAACATATTCTTTGGCTTTTTTAAAAATTAATTAACTGAAATAGACAAAATCCTTCCAAAAGAACAATACCCATCTTCAAGGACATGTAGTTGCCATTTAACAATATCAGTTTTAAGGTAAACCTTTTTTCAAAGCATGTGCCACATCATATGAACGGGTTATTCATTCATGAACACATCATGTGAAAAGGTTACACCTAAGTCAAACAGCACATTGAACATTCATATAAAGACCAAATGTATATAGGTTTTCCCTATACACAAATTGCCTGTTTTGTCAGTTCAGCGAGCAAATACACTCCACAAGCTTGTCATAACTCCAGATTCAAGGGAGCCACAGTCTCCTAATCTGTATTATGGCTCCACTGGGCTTCCATAGCTCTAACCCTAATGCATCAAGATAGGTGGTCACCAGGGATTGTGTTTGACAGATTATAGTTTACTATGATAGATGGGCGGCCATTTCTATTACTGAGCAGTGCAGCCACATGGTATGGTAACTGGGACAAAATAATACACAAGATGTTGGTTCATTTATAGAAATATAGAAACATTTTACCACAGGCAAACACCATTGTTCATATCGAAATTGTAGCAGTGACACATTTAGAAACATTTAGAAACATTTAAGCATGGGTGGACACCATTGTTCATATGCAAATAGTCCACAACTCATTTTAGAACTCGTGAGGGTTGAATCATTTAGAAACATTTAGAAAGATTTAAGCATAGGTAGACACCACTGTCCATTACCAAATTGTCCACTACTCATTTTAGAACTTGTGAGCAGAGAAACATTTAGAAACATTTAGAAATATTTTACTAGGGATAGACGCCATTGTTCATACCCAAATAGTTCACAAATCATTCCAGACTCGTGAGGAGTGAAACATTTACAAACATTTAAGTGTTGGTAGACACCACTGTCCATTACCAAATTATCCAGAACTCATGTTAGAACTTGTGAGCAGTGAAACATTTAGAAACATTTAGAAGCATTTTACCAGGGATAGACGCCATTGTTCATACCCAAATAGTCCACAAGTCATTTTTGACTCATGAGGAGTAAACTACTCACCTTTTGGATAAAACAACCCGTTCCTGTACATTCTCACTAGTGGTTACTTCTCGCCCGATTTCACCATGCATATTTTGTTGATTTCCAGGCATTATTATATTGTATCATCTTGTATTGTTAAAATGTTTTAAATTTGATTACTAGTTTTTAAATTTACCTCTGTGATAAACTAGTTGTTTTACTGTCCTTTTCTGATAATTAACCTATAATTATTATAAATATGTAACTTGATATAGTCACGATATTTTCTGAAATAATGCCAATGTGACTTAAAATTTTAACTCACTCACACACTCCAGGCATTAGAAATGTATTATAGTATGTATTCATTGTATTATAGGAACTCATTTAATCCTTATCTTCTTTATCTAATAAAAAACATGAGATGGAACAGTGTTATTTGAAAGCATTATACTGCAGTAAACTCATACAGGAAACTAACCAATCATTGGCAAGCATAAATGTCTTGTTTATGAAATATCAACTGGATTAAGAAAGCAGTAATATTCATGATAACAGACTTGGTTTTAACTGGTGATGTGAATCATATTTTCTGAATTATTAAATTAACTGAAATTTTACAATAATTGAAAGCCTTCTCTGTTTGCAAAATGGAATGATTCATCCATATAATGTCCATGGCATGAGGTCTTTTGACATTTTATCCATTTTATCAGATGTAACTTATTCTTGTACTTGCAAATATTTGGCAATCAATAGAGTTTATTCAGTCATGAAAAAACAAGTTGAGTGAGTGAGTTAAAATTTTACATCGCATCGGCAATATTAAAAGACAAAACCAAAAAACAGGTTGAAATGACATGTGAGATGTACCTCAGTGTTGGAGAAGCGGATGTTAACAGAGCTATGATTGGTCAAGAAGCAGGCTGGGAACTATGGAGATAATTCTAAACAAGATTAAAATTCAAATACCATATAAGGCCATAGATAAGCCAAATTTCGAGGACCAAAAAAAGTGGTGTGTGGAAAGAGTTTGTCTTATCTATAGGTTACTTTCATCAAACTTTTTACTGGTGGTAAGAAAATGACATTGAATTGCTTCGTGTGAATGAACAAGAAAACAACGACTTTGTCAAATTTGCAATTAAACATCACTAGACAAGATTATTTACCTTTTAAGTTGTAATTGTTTTTTTGTTAGGCATTGTATTATATGCAGGGATTCAGATTACCATGTGTATTTGTCTTGTAAACAGAACTGGAAATAGCAATCAGCATTACACACTATAAATTCCTGAAAGCTTGGCCATAGCAAAAGGAAGATGAAGAGCTGTGTCAGAAGAGCTGATGTTACCAAGGCAATGATTGGTCAAGAAACAAGTAGGCAAATCTGAAGTTCATTCTTAGCAAAGTTAGAACTGAAATGACATTATCAGTGGTCAAGATGATTGAAGATTATTCCATGAAAGATTACAACTGAAACACTCTAATATTAAGCTTCCAAGACTTTCCAGAAACTCTTTTACAAATGCCCTACAATGGTAGAGTGACAAGATGATAAATCTGTGTCCTTGGTGTGAAATGCTCTTCATTCTTATGATCTCAGAAGATTGCAGTCTCATGTTGAATGACAATACTGCTTAATTAGAATGAAACCATCTTAGTGAGTAGAAACT